CAACTTAACTATTTGCCTCTATTGAACTTGAGAAGTTACTTCACTGGGTCCAAGTTACCTCATCTCTACAATGGGGATGAAAAGAGATTCCTGCTTTTATATATTTGCCAGTCGAACAAGCATCATGAGATCCCTTGTGGACCAGTCCTTTGTAAACCAAAGTACTTTTCAAATGTTAGTTTCCTTCCTGGGACAATTATTTTATGAAGTGAGGTACTGAGGTGTTGAAGCTGGGGTGTCATGAGAGGGGTGTCTGTGTGGTGCAACATGGGCAGGAGGCTTCGAGCAGCAGAATTTGGAAGGCTTTTCTGCTCAAAAATCTCTCCTCCATTGAAAATCTCATTAACTCACAGTGGGGAGGGTGATTATGGAGTAGAGTGTAGGTCACTGAGAGGAGAATTGTAAACTCGAGACTTAAAGGCCATGAGATCGGATGAAGGTGGATTGGAAGGGAATACCAATCTCTGGGATAAAGACAAAGTTTGTAATTTTCTGTGTGATTGTTTCATTTTTGTTTTCAAAGTCCCCTGGAAAAATATGAACTATGCTTACTGTTGGGGCCATTAAAATGTGAAAGTGGTGTTCTAGAGAATGTAGAAGATTCTACCAGAGGTCTCAGACATTTTGCTGTGCACCCATCTTTATTTTTTGAAATATTTATAGGATCACATGAAGTTTCAAAGATTGAACAGAGAGGTGCTGTGTACTCTTATACCGCTTCACCCAGTGGTTATATTTTATGTAACAGTAGTTAAATGTCAGAACCACCTAGTTCACAATGGTACAATGTGTATATATTTCTTTTTCTTTTTATCACAGATGTACATTTCTATAATGATGACCAAAATCAATATATAGAAGTATCACATTAATACAAATATCTGCCTCGTGCAACCCTTTTACAGTCACCTGCTCCCTTACTATCCCTAACCTGGCAAGCACCATTTATTCTCCATATCAATACTTTAGTCATTTCATAAATCTATACAAACTAGAGGCCCATTGCAGGAAGATTCCTGCAAGAATAGGGCTTCCTGCAGCTGGAGCAAAGCAGAGAAGGGAGTGAATCCTGTCGAGGTGGGCTTCGCTCCCACCTCCATAGCCCCACTTGCTTCTCCACGGCTTCGCTCCCTTCTACAGCGCTTGGCTTCCTTCTACATTGTCTTCAGTCTTCACTCCATGCCTGCACATGCAAATTAATCGCCCTCTTTGTTGGGTTAATTTGCATACTCATATGATTGGCTGGTGAGCGTAGAGGAGTAACACCAATTTGCATGTTTCTCTTTTATTAGTGTAGATATAAAAGCCCAGCGACCAGACTGGTGGAACTACTGGAATTACCAGAATGACTGGTGGCTATGACATGCCCTGGGAGGCCAACCAAACCAATCTGGGCCCCAATCAGCCCTCCTCCCCTCCTCCCCCAGCTGGCCAGGCCCCAATCATCCCCAACATCTTGATAGGGGATGGGGTTTCCTGCCAACCGCCTGTGGCTCCACCTCCCACTGGCCCTGTCCTATTGGCCTCCATCAAGGAGGGCCTGCTGGACCCCACCCTGCATGAATTTGTGCACTGGGCCTCTAGTGTTATATAAAAGAATGTAACATTTTGAGACTGGCTTTTTTTTTTTTAATGAAGCACAATGCCCTTGAGATCTATTCATGAAATAGCATCATGTAGCAATACACAACCACCCCTCCCCCCTCAGTAATATTCCATGCTATGGGTATATCACACCTTTTTGAACCATGTACCTACTATAGCACGTCTTGGATGTTTTCAGTTGCTTTGGGCTATTTCTCATGACATTTCTATGAACCATCATGTACAGGCTTTTATGTGTACATAGTCTTCATTTCTCTGGATAAATGCATAGAACTACAACTACTGGTCATATGTAAGTATAGGCTTAGCTTTTGAAGAAACTGCCAAGCTGTATTCCAGAGTGGTTGTTCCATTGTTCATTCCCATCATATGAGTTATCTAGTTACCCCACATCCTTGTCAGCATTTGGTGTTGTCATAGTTTTGCACCATTTTTTTAAGGAAAAAAAAAAGAACCTCCTCTGCCCAAAATGGTTAATTGAAGGAGGTTCCTGCACAGTTATTTTGATGAATTTACTCATCATATGAATCCTAGGGATTTAGGCAGTGGAATGCATTTTTACTATGTTGTGCTTTATTTTGCAAATATAGATATAAATGAAAACTAGAAATTGCTTAATAGAGAATTCTACCTAGTGGAATGTGGATTAGTGGTGGCCAATCTTTGTCCCTTTTGGGGGAGCACAAAGACTAATTATGTGAAAATATTCTCATTGAGATATAGTTTTATATCACTCTGGTACCTGTGTAGTCTATAGTACAATGGAAGAGGCATAGAACTTAAATTAAGAAAGCTTTTTTCTGTACTTCAACATTTTTTAATTTAAGAAAACTTAGGTAAGAGAAATCTATACAAACTAGAGGCCCATTGCAGGAAGATTCTTTAATTTAAGAAAACTTAGGTAAGAACCTTTCTGGCCCTTAGTTTTTATCTGTAAAATGAGGATACTATCTTCATCACAAGACTGTTTGAGATGTAAATATGTTTATCTCTCTCTTACTTTAAAATTATTTATTGAGTGCTTACTATGTGACAGGCATTGTACTAGACCAGTGGTTCTCAACCTTCCTAATGCTGCCACCCTTTAATATAGTTCCTCAAGTTGTGGTGCCCCCAACCATAAAATTATTTTCGTTGCTACTTTATAACTGTAATTTTGCTACTGTTATGAATCGTAATGTAAATATCTGATATGCAGGATGTATTTTCATTGTTACAAATTGAACATAATTAAAGCATAGTGATTAATCACAACAATATGTAATTATATATGTGGTTTCCGATGGTCTAGGCGACACCTGTGAAAGGGTCGTTCGGCCCGCAAAGGGGTCGCGACCCACAGGTTGAGAACCACTGTACTAGTCCTTTTGGATTTAATGATGATTAAGATAGGATCCCTGATTTCAATGAAGTGATAACAGTAAAAATAAGAAGAGTAAAATGACAGAACATTCATTTGAGCACATGCCAGATATTTTATATTAGGTTCCATGACCCCAGGAACTCTGGAAGATTGATATAGGTCTTACCATTCAACAGCAGAGAGATTTAGGGTACTTGTTCAAAATCAGAGAATAGGTCTTACCATTCAACAGCAGAGAGATTTAGGGTACTTGTTCAAAGTCAGAGTC